CCTTCTATGGGTTGCTTCAGTTTACTTTTTTAGACAGCTCATTATTAGGCCTATATAGTGACGCTGCTATGTCCTTAGGCTGCTGGAGGGCATAATTACCAATTTCCCCTACTTTGCTTCATTTTTTTTTATTACCCTCCTTTTATAATTTGCTTGCTGTTACTTCAACTTAAGCTTTGTGAACACTTTTTTTCTCTAGAAGCTCCAATGAGGGAGGTTACTGACTTCTACAGTTAAATGTTGTCCCTACATATATAGGCCTACTTGCTCTTGTTTTTCAGAGGTAAGGCTCTTTTCTAGAAGGCGCTAGGATGAGCTTCTAATACAGCTAACTATATGCATGTATGTGTCCTTCATTCACTTGACTTGAAAAAATGTCCTGATATGCTTATCTCTGCATTGCAGCCTTTAAGGAGTTACTACTTTTCAGTTCTATTTCAGATGGAAAGTATTTCTCCATCAATGCTTCTGTCAATTATTTTTTGGCTTATGTTCTGTCTCTCATGTACAAAGCCCTAGTTAACCAAGCTCCCTCTTAAAACAGGGATCTCATTTTACCTTATATTCCTAGCATTTCACTCTCAATTTGCAGGTTTACTAGTGGTTCCTAGAATTTCTAAAATGACATTGGGAGGCAGATGTTTTAGTTATCAGGCGCTTCTCTTGTGGAAACAACTACTAATTTACACAGGGTAGACATCCGGTCTTCTTAAAAACAGGGCTTAAACCTTTTATTTTTGCTAAAGCATGTAGAGTGGTAAATCTTATCCAGAGCTATATGTATTGCTGTGCTGCTAGTATAGGCATATGGAGGACATAGGGACCACCTTTCATCACTCTGTTTCATTCTATCCCTATTCTCCCATTCAGCAGTATTTGTTAGCTCAAACCTTGACTTTATGTTCTCTCTGCTTTTCACAACATGGTAGCTTAATCTGGCCTGTTTTTTTTTATGGCTGTGACACCATCTTGATCCTGGAGAGAAATATAAACTTTGCTGCTGCAATCAACCCCTTTGATTATAAATGATAGAGTTGGGCCTATGTTTTAGTGTTTAGTCCCGTTTCTCTCATAGCTATGAACTCAACCTTTACTATTAGCAGCTGTATGTGCTCCTTTTCATCCCTTTTTGATATGAAAACTGTTGTAGAGCTTGTCTGCTTGAGCTTTTTTTCCCATAAAGAGCCATATGTGAAAAATATTTAAAGAACAAGGCCACTATGTTCTTTTTTATGCCTGCTTTGCACTCCAAGAACTCGATCTCGGAAAAGAATGCTTACACTGAGCCTGGCTCTGCTGGAGCTTTCTTCCTGTTTATAGGGATGTTTCCTCTCCACAATCACTGCATGCATGTATGCCTGGATTGAATACTTCAAGTCAATGACCTGAAGTAATTTACGGTGTTTCCTAGAAGGGGGAAAAAAAATCTGTCTCTATGATTTGAACAAACTGACATTTAATGTATTGTTATTTTATTGGCTAAATAAGTTGAACTGCATTAAATTAAACTTGATAAGCAATTTTTGTATTGCAAATATCTTATTTCATTTTAGCCTATACTGAATTACAAAATGTAATTTATTTTTTGCAATTTAGAGGCTTTTATCCAGAACTGTGCCAATATGACCTAAGCTGTGGCTAAAGGTACCAAGGTTCTAGGTTAGCAACCCACCTGAAGAGAGCCTGATCTCTCACATCAAGTAGAATCTGTATTCAATATATTGTAAAACACATTTTCCCGAAAGCAAACACATAATGTCCCAATATGCATGATAAAACATCTTCAGGCTCCTTCAACCAGAAAATATCTCTATAATGACAAAACGGATCTCATCTGAAAGGCAGAGTTCATTGTCTGTATTATGAACTGTGTGATAGTTACTTCACCATGCAATGCTTTTACTATGGTTATCATGAAGATTATATTACTCTATCATGTTAAAGATACCTCGATTTTGAGTGTTGTACATACGTTTGTCAACAATGGTTGGTGAGGTTGCTTGACGACCCAAATGAAGAGCTGAGTGAAGCAGAGATAAGTTCTGATTGATTTAATTGGGTAACTGAGGCAGACATCCAAATACAAAATATACAAAATATAAAGAACCAAAAACCTTCAGGGCAAAACTTAAGTGGGGAGGCAGAGATGAGTAAACAACAACCAAAAACAAGGAAGCAGCACTGAGTGACTGCAGACGTGGAGTATTTAAGGGAAACAGAACAAAGGATGGACTAATGAGCTGAATAAGGAGCAGGTATGAGTGGAACTGGCAAGAAGAAATCCAAGGGGAAAGAAAACAAGCACAAGGGGGCACCAGAGAGTAACTAAGGACTGCTTGAATATAATGGAAAACCAAACAAAACAGATAACAGAAAACTAAAAACTCTGAGTCACAAATGGGAAGAACCATAACACGGTTGGGAGAGAGAAGTTGGAATAAGTTACTTTAATTTCATTTCTTTTTAATAAAATTTAAAATGTTATTTGCATTTAAAGGAATATTAAAATAAACAAATTTTCCTGCTAGTGTCATTATTCAGGAACTACATATTTAAAAATAAATAAATGAAAGTTGCCTCTTTATTCCGAAGTCTGAGTCTGCTTAGTAGCAAAATTCTAAATGTCAGAGAAACAGCTTTGTACCCATAATTTATTATAGTTGCTCATTTCAGAATATCAAAGAATAGAAATGGGGCCCCAACTTAGCCTATCACTGCTGTTGTTATACATTAACATTTTCATAAGTGCAAGACTAAGCACCTAGTTAGATTTTTTTTTAATGATTTTATTTTTTTTACCTTAATAAAGATCATAGTTTGAAAGCTAATTAAGCTATTTCTGCAAAAATTATAAGCGTCATAGCAAACTTAACCTGTCTTTAGTCTCTTTGAAAAGTCAATGTAACTTTTTTCCAGTATAACATGCTCTAACCAGCATCATTCTAAAGTTGAAGTAGGTGAATCTGGGATATCTGGTTAAGCTAAACAGCGCCCCTGTCTGGTAAATAAATGCTACTTCAGTATAATGTTCCCCTAAACTTGACAGGCTGACATTTTCAGTTATCTTGCAGTAAACTGCAGTAGAAAATCCTTTGGAGTTACAATGTTTCCAAAGTAAGAGAAGGTGAAAATAATTGCGACATTAAACATGGAACGTTTGACATATAAAAAATATCAAACCTTAACTACATTTATTTAAAATGTTTAATTCAGAATTTACATGCAACGTTAAATTAAGTGTCTGGCCTTTAATCTACTATTACTAAAATCTGTTGGTGATAAATGCCAGTAATTCTACATTTATAAAGGTAAATAAAGTTTCTTCAGCATTGGTTTGACAATTTTTTCTATTTGCTCTGGAGGCCAATAAGGTTGAAAGTTTCCCTATAAATTAGAGCCAGAAGGATGTGTTTAAAGGCATTTGCACAACTTGGCCACCTTAATAAATACTTGCCAGGCTTTGCAAAAAAAAAAAAAAAATTGTTTACAGTTTTTAAACAACAGAGCTGACATACCATTGCAAGGCAGTGTAACAGTGTGTGTGACTTACCAGTGTAGTTTTTACTCACCTTTAAGATATCACTTGTAGAGAATTAGGCAGAATCCTGGAAAATAAGGATCTAATAAGGACAACAAACACATCCCACTGTAGAAAACCTGTTTATTAGACAAATTATACACAGAAAGCTTCGCCACTTGTAACAGAGGCCCCAGTTTGTTTCAGTTTTTGAATATTATGCAACACATACAACAAAATAGGCCTATATTAAATACTGTACATCATAAATTCTGGAAAAATTATCAAGTAAATCCTGTCGTTCTATGTAAAGAAATTAAAAATGTTAACAGATAGCTAAAACAGCAAGTTTGTGCATGCTTTCTTTTTAGTGAACTTGCCATGTATTGTAATATATCCAGAACGAAAAAACAACAAACAAATCAAAGAAACAAAAACAAATTTAAAACATGGTTCAAAAACGAAACAAAAAAAACAAGCAAACCATTAGTGTGTATGTTTTTGTTAGCCATGGGCAGGACGGGGAGAACCAAAGGCAGTAACTGACCTGCTTAACGCAGCACTAAAGCTTAACATGATATAGTATTTTCCTTTTTGTTAAACAAAAATAGCATCAACATGTAAAATATACATTTTCATTATGTCGCTTTCATTTATAGTAAATAAATCTTTTTAAACGTATGTGTCCTATTTGCCATTTCATAGCCTGACTGTAGTCTAATATAAGAAAAGAAACCCTAACAATGCTTGCTTCAAAACACAGTGGCTTGACTGAATTCTCTACGCACAACAGTTTGCAGATTTAGCTCAAAAAGGTAAGAAACCCAAACTTTGCTCTACACAACTAACATGACCAATTATTAATAAAGTGTTAGTTAAAAAAAAAAGGTTGGTTCCATTTTTGCAAAGTTTCCTAAGAGAGAAAGGAAAAGAAAACAAGTAGACAGCTCAGAACAATGTTCATTTTTTTTGTACTTCCTCACCAAAACACATTCCACTCAGGAAAATCTTTTTTTTTTCTGAAAACAAAACTCAATAAAAGACATATAATAAGCATTAGCTTTGTAAAGTCTTTTAGGTTTTCATTTTTTTTCTCACTTTTTTGTCTGCTTTTTTTATGAATGTTAATTTCTCCTTTACATCTGAGAGTCTGGTAGGAGAATTTCACCTTGACTCTAAAAGCAGATAGCACAATAACGGTGAGCAAAAATAAAAGGTAAGATCTACATACAATCACTTACAGGTCTGTGGGCACTGGTACAGTGCAGAAGGTTTGACAAAGAGTTTAATGTGCATCAAAGTGGTGAAAACAGTTTCAGGCTGATGCACCAAAAATGGCAGAAGTTTAAAGATTGATGCACCAAAACTGGTGGTTTACAGTGACACGCAGTTGTTCTGTCATGGCATTTCAACAGTTTCCCCACTGATGCACAGTGGAGGCATCAGTATATGTTCAGTCTTATGTCTTATGTCTTATGTCTTATGTCTGGATCAGACTCCCCAATGTGGACACCATCCTGGAGTTGCTTTTAGATTCAAAACCCAAGGCATTGATACAACACTACCAGTGAAAACAATATTGAGGAGAGCCTTTTAACAGTGAAAAGACAAGGTTAAAATTGAGATACTTAATCATCATTGGCCTTTTCAAACCCCTTAAACTTTAGGATGGTAATATAAATACAACTTATGTGGTTTATTTTCATAATATTAATGCCTCGGTTTTCCTAGCAAATAACACCACTGGAAGTCGTTTCATGGCCAATGAGAGCTACAATCCTTTACCAACAGCAACTCTAGACCTTACACTGATCATGTCTTTGTGTTGAAATAGTTTTTGACTAAACCCAACAAGAGGGTGTTCATACAGCAAAAGGTGTCAGGTCATTTCAGCATTACATGAGAAAGTCCTCATGTCATTAAACTAAAACATCAGTACAAAAAACAAAACCAAAAAACAACAAAAAAACAGGTCCCCTCTTAGATGCAACTCCCAACTGAACTCCCCAAACATACACAAGAACAACAACAATAAAGCAGAGATGCATCATCTGTTTGAGAATGAAGAATACCCCTTCAGACCTACACCCCTCCCATACAAGTTTACGCCCCTGGATACTCGAGCAGAAATGAAAAACAGAAAAAACATATTCCTGTTTACATGTATATACCTCTTACTCTTTAGCCTAGCCGCAACATATTTGTTCAAACACCCCACAACATACTGAAACCCCTTTTTCCTCTCACTTCTTCTCTCAAACCAACTCTATCCATCGCAACACCTCAAATGGAGGTGCCCCTGTCTGGATCATTTCCATATCCAAAATTTGGTCCTGGTCCTGTTGGCTGGTAAGGAATAGAGGACATAGTTTTAATGGGGCTGCGGAAGAAGCCACCATTTGGGGCTCTCTGCCTAAAGGGGCCGACCCCACCAGTTCGGTGGTCCTGGAGACCTCCACCAAAACCAGAGGAAAACCCAGCGGCGGCTTTGGCAGACAGGCTGCGGCTCAGGGTCTGGATCTGCTCAGGGATAAAGGTGGTGGTGGTGATGTGCGTGTTGCGGAAGTCGCTGATCTGCTCGAGGGCCTGTCTGGCAGCAGGAAGTGCATCCATATCGAGGGGGGTTAAATCGACGGAAGAGGTGGAGAACTGCTTGTGGGGGCTTTCGTCCTCGGTGCACAGACTGTTAACCCTGCGGTGTAGGTGCTCCAGGTCGATCTCCTTATCGTCCTGGAGTTGGGGAGGGATGGGAAAAAGAGAAGAAGGGAGAGAAGGAAGTGACAATGACAAATGGAGAGAAACAGGAGAGATCAATGAAAGGAAAAAGTGGTATAAAAGTATTGAGAATAGAATTTGTATGCATAGTTAAATGATCGATTGATAGAAGAGAGAAGAACACGTGGAAAGAGGGAGATGGTAAAAAGATAGCCAAGGTAAAGGATGGATATTTAAGGAGGTGAGATAGAGGCAGCATGGTGTAATTTTTAGCAGATTTAATAAATGGAAGAGTAATGCAGGAAACAAAGCAGAAATTTAGGAGAACCAATGGGGTGTAATTGTGTTCAGCAACAAGGATGTCATCCATCCAACCATTAAAAAAATATATCATAAACAAGTGAAACCAAAAAGTTGAGTAGAGGTATATGCAAATGAGTGAAGGATATTTAAAAACGGTTGAGATCAAATTATTTAAAAACCCAACATGGAAAAGCAAATAATGCGAATCAACAACGTCAAGTGATTGTTTGATGGTCACAAGGAAAAAAAAAAAGGAAAAGGTGACAGGAAGTGGGAAGAGCAAACAAGAAAGGGGGGGGGGGTGATGGAGGAAGGGATAGAGAATAATTACAGAAAGAAACATACACACACTTCTAAAAGGTCTTTAAGGGAGTGCAAATAATCAGGAATGGACAGAAAGGACACAGTGCTGTGTGCTTTGCCATTCCAGGGTATTGGTTTTCTATTGAGCAAGCTTGACTAACTTTAAATTTCAAGGGTAACTTTGTAGATAAATGCTTAACAAATCCTTATCACTACATTGTATTATGGCCTTTGCCGTAAATTTACTTTGGGATCAACATCCCACTTTCAAGTGAATTTGCTTAGGCCATAATTCATTACTGGAATTCCTACAACTTGAATAGTATCATACAGTTACATATATTTACAGTTATATACATTTATTAATAAACAATCTAAGACAACCAAAACAAATAGATTTACTTGAACTTTAAATAAACTTACTGTATCAGATACATTAAACTTACTACAATGTACACTTATGAATTTATTCACATATGACTTAATTGCTTAAAGGCTGTAAAACTTAGTCAAAGGTGTTTCATGCTTTTACTGCAAAAAGAAGGGTGAGTATGAGTGTGGGGTGGGTGGAAGGGTCAGTTTCCAATAAGTGAGAGGTGCATATTAAGTGGAAGGGAGGCTTGGGTCAATAGTAGGGGAAATACAAACTTCTGCTAAGTTTCCAAAATCACATTTTCACATCTACCACAAACACTTCAAGGCAAGGTTTTCAGAGTTGGGTCAGACATAAGTTGGTTGGTTGGTTTGGTCTTAATAGAGACAGAATTTGGGTAAAAGTCAGAAAGGATTTTTGATGGTGGAAACCACAAGACTGGGGATAAACAGATATTTACTGACCGTTTCCTTTGGATCTGGGGGTATGTTCAGCTGAATTCTCTGGCCCTACTCACAAGCAGAACAGGGGAACCAGCAGTCGCCCCAACCAGTTACCATCTAAAGAAAGACACTATTGGAGGAAGGGTAGGACGAAGGGACTACTTGTGTGGAAACTAGGCCTGCTCTGAGTGTGGGGGAAAGAATCCTGATGGAGTGGTGTTGTAGACTGGTACGGGCAAAAATACAGGGAGGTGGAAGGTAATATTGAATCACAAATAGTAATTTTGTTTTCAGTGAGAGGGAAAGCAAGGGTGGCTATGAAGAGAAAGCAAAGTGGCCTGGAACAATAGAAGATTAAAGCAGCAAAACCTGAACTTTTTGGTATCTCTCTCGATAAATATAAATACATATTTATATCATTTTTTAATAAAGTTATATATATATATATATATATATATATATATATATATATATATATATATATATATATATATATATATATATATATGTGCTCCTCTTTACTGATGTCGGGAAAAAGGTAGAAACTCCCACATAAATTGAAGCACAAGTGCAAATTTCTTTTATTCCTATACACTGTTTTACTTTTAAAGGCAAAGGATTAATTATAAAAAAGAAAACCCAAATGGATCAGTAAATCTCTTTTGGCTTACATGAATCTGTATAATATATGAAGTATATCTCATTACAACGTTTACATACTATAAAAACCATGAGAATTAAACTGGCTACTGAAGAAGGGCTCTCTGTCCAAATATAGAAACAGCCCCCTCTAACGTCAGCAAGGCATAATTGCATATCTAGTCATCTGGCAACATACCAGGCAAACAAACTTTGTAAAAGAGGTAATTTCCCTTTCAGCTTTACTACATCATTACCCTCTGTTTCCTGATAATTCCCCTGCGCAAATTATCATTCATGTACAATGTTGTCTTCAAGCTTTTACTAACCAAAGATTTTATTTATCTTCTATTGAATGTATAACCTTGGTGTGGGAGGTGATGTTGTGAACGTGGTCATTCTCATTTTGGGGGTGATCTCAGAGGGGTTGGCTGGTTCAAATGAGTGCTGCACGATTAACGCGCACGGAATGTCACAGCATGCTGGGGGCTGGTAATGGGTGGTGGTGGAGCCAGCCGTGTTGGTTGCGTTCGGGGTCTGGTTTTGGGTCTGACCGCCCAGTGAGAGGGGGTGTTCGTTTGGGCTGTGGGGACAGGGATCAGCAGCCTGCATGGAAGATGGACCATCCGCATGTGCCTGGTTTTGGTGCGTTGCATGAAAAGTTTGATCAAATTTGGGTTGAAGGGGAAGAGACAGAAAGGAGAACGTGATGTGCACGTGATTATATGTGTGTTTTGCATGTAAGAGGTGGGAAGATTAACACAAGTTCAAACAAACAAACGGAAAATCAAAAGCACAGGCAGACAAAACAACAGGCGTGCCAAGGCAGAAAAGGATAAGTGACAGACAAGATCGGGCAGATTGAAAGATGGTGGGTGGACGAAAGAGAAGTAAATTGGAGAGACAGATGGGTGGAGGGGGAAGGGGTGAGTGAGAAAAAAGACACGGCAGTCAGTAAGCACACACATTTAAGCAGGTCGCTCTGTGTTGTGTCCTCTGAGAGAGACATTCACACAGTTGTTATATACCTGGAAAGGGGAGATGTTTAAATGCCATTTTGTATTGCTCTCTCCCCCTCGCCCGCTACACCCCTCAACACAGAGTACTTATCTACAAGAACAAAACAAGAAGGCAATATGAGAGCTTTGAGCCACAGTGACACAGTTCATTCAATAGAGTTAGAATGAGAAGAGCTGGCATTTTTATTCAGACTTTAAAAGGTTAGAATTAGCTTTGCTTTTGTCTTCTAAAAAGGACATGGATTTAATTAATGAGGCACATGAGAATTGCCAGCTCTCCTCAGACTAAATCTGCACGGACTATATGAGATATAAGATATGATCAAATCCACAAATGTTATCATTATGGAAGAGTTCTGACAGTAAGGAGTTAAAAAATATAAGATTTTTGAATTTAAGTTATGTTCACGCCTACTAACAGAACTCTTCCATACCAAACTCTGGTTGGACATATATAAACAGGCAAAAAGTGTTGGTAATACAGCCTTTCTGAATGAGATGAGAATCTTCTAGAAATTTCTCATCCAGAGTATTAGAAGCATCCCAAAATACAAAGAATGTACATTTTGTTCTTGTATACTGTCCCTCCAAAACCAAAATACAATCAGTTCAGATGTTTCTTAACACATCCAAAGTAAAAGCGCCTTTAAAATAAATAATTTTATAAAGGTACTGACAACAATATCATTTTCATTTTGCTTCCAAAGAGTCTAGTGTTTTTCTAAACATTTCCAGTTAATTAGGCAAATTCTTAAGGCTTTTCCAAGTGTTGTACATTGATTAAAGCAACAATTAGGGGAAGAAAGGTAGAAGTGTTACACTATGGCCATGCCCAGATGTAGCCTGGTTTGGGTATTTCTGACAAACCACATTGAGACGGAGGGTCCCATTCAGACTAAGCCGCCACATGTGAGAGCAGCCTCAGAGAGGATACATTTGAAGCCGTCCCCAGCGAAACCTCCATCATGATACCCCTGTCACAGGTTACAGATTGCTATGTTTGCCTGTGTAGACCCCACAACCATTCAGATGTATGAAACAAGCTACAACAACTGCAAGCCTCAGAGATGCAGTTGTGGTTAGGAATCTGTCACCGAGGCTTTTCAAAGTACTGTGGATTTCACTTACACATTTTTTCCTCTCTTTTGTCAGGTTACATAAGCCCTGTTTTCTCTCTTTGCTTTCATCTTTTGATTCTAACTCATTTTTTTGTACTTTTATACGTGTGGAAGTTACTGCAACACCTACTGGTGTGTCATAAGTATTATGTGGTCTTATTTACACATAAACTTTATATATATATATATATATATATATATATATATATATATATATATATATATATATATATATATATATATATATATATATATATATATATATATATATATATATATATCTTTTTTTTATTCAAACATTTATACTTTAAATATGCTTTACTGATATAATATTATTTACTGATTCAAACCTTTTAGTGGAGTCTAGACCTCAGCCTTAGTAATCAAGGTATTAGGAATGTCCTTGTTAGCAGAATAATACCTTTTCAATGTTCATAAAACTGTGTCTTCATAGGTGTTTAAATTGACTAAGTGTTCCAGTTAAAAGCTCCTAATAAGATGTCTAAAGTGTAATTTAAAAGTGCTGTATTGAAAAGTTTTCCATTATTCGTACTTCTGTTTGGAAGCCATGCTGACACCAGAATGAAAATAATGTTAAAACAATTCTTCTTTTCAGGTACAGACTGAAAGTAAGGGAACAAGCTGTCAATCACCAACAAAAAAACGTTGAAAATTTTGAAGTATATATGGAATCAGGACTCCTTGGAAGCAGAGTAAAGAGCCAGAAAAGACTGAGTACTATTTGCAGTACTGTATGTTCTTAACTACAAATGTATTTAGAATATAAAGGCTCCTGAAATGTTTTTTCATGATTCAA